AAGCTATAAATACCATAGCCTTCAAGCCTCAAGCTTTTCCTCCCATCCTCCTCTTGAAACTCTTAAATCCCCATAACCATAGCCATAGCCATAGCCACAAATAACAAATCATCAACACCCCAAACTCAAGTATATCCAACACCAAGCCAAGCACATGCATTCTCATTTGCTAAACTTGTGAATCTTTAGCTCCCACACTCCAAGCTCTCATGCCAAGCTAATATAATCTTAGATCTACATCAGCAAGTCATCTTCAACTTTTCGTCAAGCTGCTGGAAACGTCAACATCAAACACGCAGCCGCTGGAAGAAGAACAGAGTACCCCCTGGGACATGCTTTTTCCTCGGGATGCTTTGGGCCTAGTCCTCGCTAACTCAGAAAAAGGGGCAACGAAGGCTTAATCCACCACTCTACGGCGGTTCGAGAATCAACAAGCCCGGACAAGCCTTCCGACGGAAAAAGACCCCAACACACATCTACTTGAAAAACTGTTTTCTCTCAAAATTTGACTAAGTATGAAAAATGGACTTTTGAAATACTAATGTTTTCAATGATATTTTGGCGGTTTATATTCCTTACATCTTAAATAAGCAAACACGATTTATGAGATTTTAGTATAAAGTATACATTTACTTATTGAGGTATCAATATTGATATAAATTGTATCTTATACTTAAATTGGATTTTCATATTTTGATTTGTTGGGAATTTTATTTTCTAGTATTTTTAATTGAATCCAAATGGGGGTACTTCCTTATTTCTAGGGCACTGATTTTCCCACTCCCTTATTATCCACTCACACTCCATTTTTCTAAACAAAAAGGAGTGTAGGTGGATAAAAGGGGAGTGGGAAAATTATTTTCCTATTTATATTGTAAATTTAAGTAAATGGAGTAATATAAAAAGACAAGACATTCACTCAAATGTTTGGAATGGAAATAAGGCAAGGCATTAAAGGCAATATAAGGCAAAAAAAAAAGGCAATGGGTGGCCTAACCCAACCCAAAAAGCCCACTTAGCCCCGGTCTTATGGGCGGGCTCGGGCCTATCCCTTTCAAACCTCGGCCCAATCTGGCCCAAAAAAATAAAAAGCCTGAAAAAGCCCAGCTCGAGCCCAAAAATTTAGGGCTGACCTGATGATGTTCCCTATGTTGCCTTTTGCCAAAGGCAGCTTAGTCTTGTATTAATACCCACATCAACAAAGGCTAGCCTGAGGAAAAGAAATTTAAATAAATTAAATAAAAAAAAGACAAAAAAATTCAGAATTTTTTTTCTATAAATACCTGGCTATATTTTTCACTTCCCACACCAAAACTCCATACAAATTCATATTGTCCTAGTGTGACATATGATGCTTATTCTCCTCAACATACCCAACAAAACAAACAGTGTAAATCAATTTAGAGAAAGAAAAAAAAAAACTCCCAAAAAGTAATAATTTCATTAGAGTTCCCTTACATTGATGCAGAACTGTAGGCCCGGAGCGAGGAGGACTACTTATCCAAAAGTCTCAGCTCCACCATTGCGCTTATCATGGATTCATGGGTGAGAAGGACTACTTATTAAAATTTCCGGGGATCGAGGACTACATACGAACTGGGGCAGTGAAGCATATTGTGCCCGATTTGGATATTTATATTCATTGAAGAAGGGAGCCACTTTGTGTGGGAGCAACTTCCAGAGCAAGTTAATGAGCTAATTATCAGTTTCCTTGACAAACATAGCATCTAATAAAGATGCTCAATATGCCTGAGGAGAACGTATTCCCGAAGAGTAAAAATTGTCCTCTATGTTACTTTAGCTAAAAAGTTGGGCCCCTACATTACATATTTCACAGGCCACCTTGTTCGAATCAATATATTGGAAAGTATGGCAGATTTTTCTGTGATTAAGATTTCAGATTTCAGACCCACAAAAAAAAAAAAAAAAAAAGATTTCAGATTTCTGTCCAGGCCCTAAAGTTTTGTTCTTGCATGGACTCCAAGAATTATGTTATTGCCACCCGGCCACCATTTTAAGGTTTGGTACTTATTTGAAACGACCCCTAAAGGTTGAGTACTTTTATGTAATTAATCTAAAGAAAAAATATATAAACAATTTACAAAGCCAGAAATCGACAAAACAGTGAAAATCCCTTGTCAAATCCAAAGACTAAAATTTTTCCTTTGGTAATTTTAGCTATCAACTTGAACATTGAGTGGCAGTCATTGCAAACCCTTGAATTTTTCACAATCCTCAAAGTAGTACATGGTTTTGTTGACATACGCTTAAAACAATGAAAGGCGGAATTAAAACAAATGCTTGACAACAATGACAAGAAACAAACGCTTGACTTCTTGACATTATCTATTTACTTATTCTGTCTGCCATCCTCTCTTATTTAATTTTCTCCTCTCACTCAAGAGTCTCTCTTTCTTGCTCTCATGGAACAGATACAACACAGAAATGTGGAAGTAAGAGGACTAAAGCTTCATGTAGCGGAAATTGGACACGGTGAGATCCAAAATTCTGATAACCACCGGATAACAACTGTTTTCTTCAATTTTTTTGTTTCCCTGCTTGCACTTACAGTAGTGAGTATTTGTGCAGGTCCGAAAGTGGTGCTTTTCTTGCATGGGTTTCCAGAAATATGGTACACATGGAGGCATCAAATGCTTGCTGTGGCAAACAAAGGGTACAGGGCAATAGCCATTGATTTCAGGGGCTATGGACTTTCGGAGCAGCCAGCTGAACCCGAAAAGGGAACCTTCAAAGACCTCGCTGATGATGTTGTTGCCCTTTTGGATTCTTTGGGGATTAACAAGGTAGATCCATTCTTCTTAAAGATTTTTCTGCTTCTTTTTTCCACCATCTGCAGGGCAGGTGGTACCTGTTTATCAGCTGGCGCATAATGTTTAGCTCTCAAAGTTTTGGGCGGAGAGCTAAACCCTAAACATTTCTGAAACAATGATTCTACACGTTAAAACAATGAACTCTGCCATTGGAATAAAAATTACAAAAAGAACACCAAAATTCGGGTTTCCAATCAATCTAGGCTACAAAATTCCACTATATTTGACCCGGTTGATACATGGATGAGGGGTCCTAAGCTTAAGACCACCAATACATCCAGACATGAGAAGTATTAGACATATATTTGTCTCTGTGAATATATATGAACTTTGAACTTCATTTTATGCTTATAGACTAAACATTTATAATTTTTGAATATGGAAACCAGACTTTTCTTGTTGGGAAGGATTTCGGAGCTCTGCCTGCATACCTAGTACCTGCTCTCTACCCAGAGCGGGTATCTGGCATCATAACACTAGGTATTCCTTTCATTCAACCAGGTCTCTCTGGTGTCCAAAATCATCTATTCCCCGATGGCTTCTACATAACAAGGTGGCAGGTATATTCATTTTATTAAGATCTTTATTTTGTCAACAAAATTTTTCATTGGACCTGTTCTAATCATCACAAGGTTTAACTCTGTACTAATGATACTGTTATTCTTAACTAATTCCAGGAACCAGGGCGAGCAGAAGCAGATTTTGGCCGCTTTGATGTTAATACTGTGATAAGGAACATCTACATTCTCTTCTCCAGAAGTGAGGTCCCAGTAGCAGCTGCTGATCAAGAAATCATGGACTTGTTTGACCCTGCAACTCCTCTACCACCATGGTTCTCCGAGGATGATCTTGCAGTCTATTCATCTTTATATGAGAAATCTGGATTCCGTTTTCCATTGCAAGTTCCATACAGGTAGGTAACAAGAAAGATAACTTTTGCATTCTGTTCTCCCAGGACATGACTTATTTTTTCCAACAGCTCCAACCTGCCTGTCCTGATTCCCAATAATAAAATAAATAAATACAGCACAAGGAAATATAGAGTGGTTGCTAAGGTAAGATTGTGAAGTGGGGAATTCATAGTGTCCTAGTCTGCCATATTATTCTTATTCTCCTTGCAACATTGAAAAAACCATATAACCAAATACCATTTAAAATAAAACATCTCCCAAACTGTAATTTAATGACAGTTCCCTTCCATTGATGCAGAACTTCAGCACTGGATTACGGTTCAACTGATCCAAAAATCTCATCTCCGTCACTGCTTATCATGGGTGAGAAGGACTACTTCTTAAAATTTCCGGGGATGGAGGACTACATACGGAATGGAACAGCAATGAAGCATTTTGTGCCTGATTTGGACATTATATTCGTCGCTGAAGGAAACCACTTTGTGCACGAGCAATTGCCGGATCAAGTCAATCAGCTAATTCTCAGTTTCCTTGACAAACATGGTATCTAACATCGATACTCTCAGTGTGGCTAAGGACAATATAATATAGGAGAGGAAATAATATACCGTATATGGCATATGCTAAAAAGGCTGGGCCTTACATTACATATTGGGGAATAAAGAAATTCATGCCCCTATTGTGTTAGCTTCTCAATCTGGAAATGTATTTATGACCTTCAATGTCCACTATTCAACTGCTTATGATGGACATATGAGGTCCATCCAAATAAGGATTCTCTACTTATATTTTTGTTTTCTGATACCCTGCTTATAATCAGTTCATTTTAATTTAGGTGTGACAGCAATGTACATGTAGCCAACAACCTATATGAGTTTAAAAGTAAAACTAAGAAAAACTTTAATTGCTCGCATCCAAAATTAGAGCAAAATAATGAGCTGACTTACCAGTGCAAACATTTAAAATCGGCAGTATGTCCTTGCCGAAAGAGAAAATTTAGCATGCGCCTGACACAATCCTGGTTCATACATTTAGTTCACAGTCCATCCTACTACATACTTTTGTTTCATAGATTGACTTCCACTCCATCATGCTATAAAATACCCTGAGGATTACTACAAACAGAATGAATCAATGAAGAAGTTTGTGTTAAATCTGGATACTACTTCCATTCCAGAAAAAAACACATTTCCAGACCAGAAGCTTTCCTTGACAAACACATTGCCAGGTGCGAATCGAATGATCTATTAGTCCCTGAGGTGGCAAAATAAGATCAAAGAGGAAAATTAAAATGTACTCTTTGATTAACACTAAGATAGAAAATTCATCCGTGGAAGCAGTGACTTATTTCCCTGTTACGCCATACTAGACTGCAACTACAAAGCAACCCACATGATGCATTAAAGTGACTATAGGTCATTATTAAAAGGCTCCAAGGACTGTACATCTTATCTATTTCCTGTAGTACTTACTCCACTATGTAGAATTGCAAATTTGAAGTTAAAATAAACAACGAAAAAAGGATTTCACGATAGGAATATCTATGCACATCATATACTTGTGAACAATATTGCACCACCCACAAGCTACTAACCTTTATATTGCTGACAGGTTTTTCCACAAGAGCCAAAAGCATTGTGACTTTGCATGATCCTGGAGGTCCCAAGAGCAAATTTTTTTTTCATATGTTTCTAATTGTCTTATCTACTTGGCCTAACAGACTGTCAATGTTTGGAGGGGAAAAGGTGACTCCAATAGATATGGTATGAGATTTATGGTTCTGTCTTCTCCACAATACAAGACAATTAAATAGTATGGATGCATGTATATACATTGGTTTACACCAGAACATGAAATGCGTGTATAAAACAAAACCAATCGTGTGCCTAAAAAGGGAAAAGAAAAGAATGTAACTGATCTGTTCCAATGCATGCACATTACATGAAAATATACATGGGTTCAAAATAAATGCATATATTTTCTGAAATAGGCAATAAGAAAGAGAACCTATAAAAAAAGGAAAAGGGTCCGCCTTGTGCAATATCATCCTGCTCTATTGTTTTAGTATAGATCGCCATCTAAAGTACAAGTTGGTTAGAATTCTGAGACCTTCAACTTGGTTGCAATATAAGTAATAGAGGACTTTGATTTCCTGTATCTGGCATTTGGTTTCTCTAGGATGCATAAAGCCGTAGGTTATCATATTAAAAATTAGGCAACAGAGAAGGCCATTCAAAACACGAAAGAATAAAGAACAAGTGAAGGGTGCATAATAATGCGTGGCTTCATTCGCATTGGGGGAAAGTTATTAAAACAGCCCCCAACTGATCAAGGAGAAGTTTCAGCAGATTAAATATTCTCCAAAACAAAGTTTTAGCTGCTACTGGTGAAACTTAAATTCAGATAATAGAGAGACTACTGCAGTTTTAACTAAATGGAGATGTACATTTTCTGGTACCTGGTCAGAAAAGTTGTCATATATACTCAGTATAAATTACAACGAGTGACGGTAATTTTACACAAGGAGGATTCCCCTTCCCTCTTACAAACACAGTTTACTGTTCGTAAGCAGGAAACTTTGCCTGAGAAGGTTCAATCATGTCCAAAAGAAGATAAGCCATACCGCCAACCCCTTCAAACAAGGAGTAAGGGCTATCACCTCTATGGAGCTCTCCCTCTGATATAAGCTTGTGAGCTCTATCAACTAGAAAACACGCAAAAGCTTTGGCTCTGTATAAGAACCCTAGATTTCCTGTCAGTTGGTAGAGCGAAAGGAACACATATGCATTCCCACTAATGCCATGGCAAATGCCAACTCGCTTTAGCAGTCCGCGTTTCCACACCACCTCTGCTGCATCAACAGCTGCTTCCATAAATTCTTTATCTCCAAAAACCTGGGGTTTACCATATCTTTATCAGTAGATAAACTCATAAAGGAAAGAAAATGCAAGTTAACAGTGAATAACATAAAGAATTAAATAATGAAAACCCCTTCCGTATGTCATCTTGAGGAGACGTGACTTTCAGCGGGAAACAACTTCAATTGTAGTTCAGTAAGTAATGAATTGTGTCCAAGATTGTAGAATTCCTTAATTATGTTCGATAAATGGCTAGTAAATGAATTACAAAGCTGCCTAAATATTACAAGCCAATGAGTCCAACACTGTACTGGAGTGTACTGAAGAACCAGTATTACTCGAGAATCTCGTAATCGTTTCAACAGAAAAGTACATAAATTATTTTCAAGTCAAATGCATTAAACTATTTGATGTGTTGTAAATCGTAATTAGTCAATGAATGTTGAACTTTGTAGTATCATCTCTCCAAAAATATCAACGGCTTCTTCAGACAAATAAAATCGGTGTCAAGTGAAACTGTAAACATCAAAATTAATACCTTTGCAGCTTTTGCAAGAGTGAGGGCAATTCCAGGAGCTCCATGACACCAGTGAACAAGAACATCTCTGTTTTTATCTTCTTCACTAGCAGGGTAGTTACCACTAGGAAAGTGATTATCGATCATGTATTTGAGAGTACTCTTGACATCTTCAACCTCATCTGGCTTCAATTCCATGTCCATCAAAACATCCATAATCCCTGCCAATCCATGTGCAGCTCCCCAATACTTCTCCCCATACCATTCAAACATCAAGGGGCATCTTCCTCTCTTGCCCAATGCTCGGCCGTTCTTGATAATTTCATCCACAACTGCTCTCTACATTATACAAACCAAAGTACATGCCAAACATTAACCTAATCAAAAGGACTAAAATCAAAATTCAATCTATGTTATCCAAAATAATATTTTTCCAAGGATGAAAATCTAACCACCCCTTAAAATTGAAACCCAAATTAATACAATCAATTAGAAACTAGCCTTACCATGTATGCTGAAGAAATTGTACCCTCGCCAAGATGTTTGTTAAAAAACAAGCAAGCCCACAAAAACCCAACTTTCCCATATAACAATTCATCAGGGAGATTTCTTGACAGCTTAATCTCCCTAAACTGGGCTAAATAATAATCAAGAGAAGCAGAGTCACCGAGGTGCTTTGCTGCAACAGCCCCAAGAGCACAAACACCTGCTCTGCCACATATGAATGTCACATCCCTTGAACCAAGAGAAGCAGAGTCACAGGCCTTGATAATCTGAGAACAAAGACTCAGATCATTCGTGTTGCTGGTGACTTGGTAAGATTTGAAGAGCAAAAGGGCAGTGCCCAGAGCCCCAGCGTAGAGAGTGAAGTCTTGGACGTGTTGACCAGTGGCTCCCCATGTCTCTATGAGTATGGTTTCTTTGAGGTCCAAAGCTGTGCGCTTGAAGCGCTCGGAGAGAGATGGGTAAGGCATGGAGAGGAGTTTCATGAGTGAGCCAGACCCAATTTCGGGTTCTGCTTCTTGGGTTGGTAAAGTTGGAGTTTCGGCTACGAAATCTGGCATTATATTTGGGAAGAACCGGTCCGCCATTATCGACTGGCAGATGAGCTTGTGGGTTGCTTTTGGGACTTGAGGACAGAAGGGGAACGGTGAAGTAGGATAAATAGTTACTTGAACAAGCTGAAGAAGCTTCTTTGTTGCCTGTTTGCTTTCCTGTTGAAATTTGCCTTTGTCATGTTTCTGCCGCTTGGGCTGTTTTTCTAATGAAGTATTATCTTGACAAAAAAATAAATAAAAAAATTGCTGGCGAGGAGGTGCAATTTCAATGTCGCGAGGCCATCCATTGTCCAATTGCTTTGTTAATGTCGGGTGAGGAGCTGTAATTGCCTCTTTCTTCACAACACGTAGATCCCGTAATTTGGTAAATGTAATATTTTCTTACGGGTAATGACAAATTGTCTTCTGACTATGCATGAACCGCATAACCATCGTCATTTATAGAGATGTTAAGCAGATCATGCATTTGTGTTATAAACCCAAGATATTCTTGCTAAATGCTAACCGACTGATAAGTTGTACAATTTTACTTGTTCAAATGACATCATTAAAGAAGCAGTCGAATGTGAAAAGAGAACATGCAATTGCGCTGAAAGGAGCAGATTACTAAATAAAATATTTTTCTTTTCCTTTTTTGATTAGTATGTACCTAGTTTAGCTATGAATCTTTCTTAGCATGTTTGGAATTTCTAAATTTGGCACTTTTAAACCATAAGTCCAATCAAAGTTATACAAGCACCGTGTCTCTTTAAGCCACACCAATAATCAATAACAAAAAATAACAATTCAAGTTCAATCCCTAGCAAAATTGCCTAAAATTGGCAAAGAACATCACATTAAATAGAAGGTTTCTCAGTCTCATAATCATCGCCTCCTCCAAATTCCTATCTCTCTCATAGTCCTCATCATCCAAGTCTAGAGCTATTTGTAATTTGTTTTGAAGATCAAATGGCCATGTCCAAGACATTTACACTTTGCATTGTTGCTCTCTTGGTGTGCTCGATTTGCAGTGAAATGACGAATGCAAAGTATCTCGGTTATGGGACTGTACGCCATGATCAGCCGTTTCGTTGCTGGGGTTCACGGTGCATGCCTCCACCAACCAACTCTTATAACAGAGGTTGTGAGAAGAAGAAGGGGTGCAGAGGTGGCGGTCGTAAAATTATAATGAGTCTTCAGAAGCACAACATATAACCAAGAAGGGGACACACCACAAAATGGCTCTTAAGACACTAAAGAGGGATGCCCATTCTTTTACATAAATATATTTATTATACTACTCCTGATCTAGCCATATTGTGAACATGATGTAATTAAGAACAACATTATTTAATTAATTTCTAAAGAGTTCAACTTGTTGTCAATCTTTTTCAATAGTTGAATCAAGTTTCTTTTTTCTTTTTCAGGTCACCATATGCAAACATTAAACCACATCACAGACATCTTAAGGAAAAATAATAAATCTATTTGCACAAGAGATGTGAGATTTTAAAATGACCTATTTTATGCAAGTAAATCTTACTTATGTGAGAAAAGTAGTTAGCGATTTGGTTGACAAATTTGGTAAATTTACCATTTCGACACTTCATGTGAACAATTCAAACTTTAATATAAGAATGACCCCAACTTCAGTTTTTCCACACAATGAGTGTCTCGAGGGCAAGTTTTAATGGGAAACAACTTCGATCATAGTTCAATAAGTAATAAATTGTGTTCAAGATTATATAAGTCATAAATTCTGTTCGATAAATGGCTAGTAAATGAATTAGAAAGTTGCCTATGAGTTCAACATTGTACTGGAGTCTACTGAAGAACCAATTTTACTCGAGAATCTCATACTGATTTTGTTAACCATGCGTTCAGTTAAGAAACTGTTAGTTCATCATGTGCAGCTCACGTGCTCTCTGTTAAGTCTGTTAGTGAGAGTTAGCTGTATTTGTTAAGTTGTTACCGTGATATTAGGAGATAAGAACTGTACTAAAGCTGAGCTTTTACTATTCGTTTAATCATAATAAAAAATACAGAATTACAAGGCTATATTCTTTCTTACATTCTCTCTTCCTTATTCTTTTGAACTCCCTAAATCTCATCATCTTCTTCTTGTTAAGATGGTATCAGAGCCCATCGTGGCTTGACACTTTCGATCCACTTCCGATTTTCTGGTCTATCTCTTCGCTGTGCTCTTCTCTTGCTCTGTCTCTATTGCTCTTTCCTCTTTTATTTTTATTTTTATTTATTTTTATATTTATGTTTTCCTCTATTTTCTGGTCATCAATGGCAATCTCTTCTTCTGCTTCTTCGGTCAAAATTGACGGTTTGCTTGGGATGATTACTCTTCGTCTCAAAGACGATAATTTTCTCAAGTGGAGTTTTCAATTGGAATCCGTTCTTCAGGGTTATGATCTTTTTGGGCATTTTGACGGAACCACTATTCCTCCTCCTTGCTTTGCAATTGTTGATGAGGTGGGTGTTACGTCTGAAGTTACTGCTGCTTACCAGGAATGGATTCGCACCGATAAGGCTTTACTCAGTTTGCTCATTGCCACTCTCTTTGATGAGGCCATCGAGTATGTTAAGCCTTTCCGATCATTATGCGTCAATTTCTAGGGCACGAATCAATCATTTGAAGACTGAATTATAGATAGCATAGAAGGGTGGAGATTCGATCGAGCGCTTTCTCTTGCGTTTGAAAACAGTCTGTGATCAATTAGTTCAAGCTGGGATTAAGGTGTCTGACGATGACTTTATGATTGCGACTCTTAATGGCCTTCCTCAGGAATTTGACATGATCAAGATGGTTTTGATTGCTAGGGATTCTCCAATTTCTTTGAAGGATTTTCGCGCTCAATTGCTGGCTACAGAGCAAACTGCAGAGGCTCGATTGGTTCCTCACTCTGCGATGTTCGTTACTCTGTCTTCTTCGTTATATGCTTTTGTGAATGCTATGGGCTCTTCTAATTCTGGTATGGGTTTATTGCCTACTCCATCTTCTTTGCCGGTTGCTTATATGGGTTCTTATGATTGTTCTGTTCTGCCTTTGTTGGATCGCAATTCTGGTTCAAGACTTGTTCTTGGTAACAATGGTGGTTTTAGTCATTTTAATGATCATCAGAATCATGGTATTGGCAATAGTCCGCATGGAGGTTTTTCTGGTTTTACTAATCATGTTGGTTCTGGAAGATGCAGATTTCAAAGCAGAGCCTCCGCTTCATCTTTCTCAGGAAATCGATTTGCGTCCAACTCTTCTCAGAAATCTGCAATTGTTCTTGAATGTCAGATATGCAGCAAACGGGGTCACACAGCTGCTAACTGTTATTTTCGCCATGAGGCAAGCTCTTCTAGGCATGGATCTCGGGTTATTGAATGCCAAATCTGTGGTAAAAGGGGTCATGGAGCCTTAGATTGTTTCCATAGATCCAACTATGTCTATTAGGGTCAAGCTCCTCCTTCCAACCTATCTGCTATGACTGCACAAACTTCCTATGTGCCTGATCAGGTTTGGATTGCAGATAGTGGGGCTTCACATCACATGGTGTCTAATATTTCCTCATTAAATCACGTTGCTCCTTGTGAATCTACAGAGCAAGTGATTGTTGGTAATGGAGAAGGTTTGAAAATTAAACACATTAGCACTACTGCCCTTGCATGTGCTTCTACTTCTCTTAAAATGCCATATGTATTTCATGTTCCACAGTTATCTGCTAATCTCTTGTTTGTGATACAGGATCAAGTCACCAAGACAATCCTTCTAAAAGGTCGGAGTAACAACGGATTGTATCATATTCCCTCTAATGCTTCCTCTCATTGCCTGTCCAAGAAAGTAGCTTTGATTGGTCAACATTTTAAGTCTTCCATATGGCATCACAGACTTGGCCATCCAACAAATGAAGTGGTGCAATCAATGCTTAAAGCTTCTGATTTGCAGTGTGCAAGTGATTCCTCGAGTCCCTTGTGTTCAGCTTGTCTTCAAGAGAAGATGCATCGGCTTCCATTTCCTGTTAGACATAGTAGGTTTGAAATTCCTTTTCATACAGTTCATAATGATGTATGGGGACCTTCCCATTACAAATCTGTTGCGGGTTACAGATATTTTGTTTCTTTCCTTTATGAATGTACTGGATATTTGTGGGTTTATCCACTTTTTAATAAATCAGAAGTTTTCTCCAAATTCCTACAGTTTCATGCTTTGATACAAAATCAATTTAGTGCTGCCATTAAGTGTTTTCAGAGTGGTGGTGGTGGTGAGTTTCTTAGCAAGGGTTTTACAGAGTTCTTGGCTTCCAAGGGAATTGTGCGTCGTTTGTCTTGCCCATATACTCCACAGCAGAATGGACTGGTAGAGCCATTATTGAAACATCCATTACACTATTAACTACAACAGCCTTACCAGGTCAGTTTTGGCTTCATTCCACTACTCATGCTGTGTATCTTATAATTTGAATGCCTAGTTATGTATTACATAATTAGTCTCCTTATTTTCGTTTATTTGGCCATCATCCTGATCTTGCTTCTTTGAGAATATTTGGTACTGCGGTATATCCGTATCTGAGACATTATAATGTGCATAAGTTACAACCTCAAACCACTTAGTGTGTGTTCTTAGGATATGCACCTGGATACAAAGGGGTTGTCTGCTACAATAGAATTATTGCTAAATGTGTGATCTTACGGCATGTTCTTCATGATGAAACCATATTCCCTTTTAAGCAAATCAATCCTGGTATATGTGTGCATTCTTCTCAGTCTCCTTCTCCTGCATCAATGGCTCCTTTCATTGTTTCTCTGCCTTCAAGGCCTATTCAAGTCCTTCTTAGCTCTCAGGATCCATCGTCTCTCGCCTCTAATACACAAGTATCCACTTCTCAGTCTCAATCTATTTCATCTACTCATGGGTCTTTATCTCACATTCAACATTAAGCTTCATTGAATGATACTCAAGTGGCTTCTGCAGGTTCTATACCTATGTTGAATGAACAATAGTTACAAGTTATGTTTTCTTTTGAGGTCTCATATGCTTCTTTCTCGTCTATAAGTACTCAAGACTCATCAGTTCCATTAGTGCCTATTAACGATCATCCAATGATTACTTGGGCCAAAGATGGTATAGTTCAGACCCAACAGTTCCCAGAGTATCAAGGTTATTTTACCTATCTTCATGCTATTCCTGAATTAGATGAGCCTTCTAGTTTT